TGAGGTCTCCTAGCCTCACAGAAGCACTGTTTCTGCCTCTTGGTTCCCCTTATTCCCCAAATTGTCCCATTGTCTTTGCTCTTTATGAATTCTTTTTTTTCTATAAAGATATAGGTTTTACTTATGGGAGACAAATTGTAGCATGAATGTCCCAGTTGTTTTAGTTTCCACAGTTGGTCACATTCCTTTGAAATTATCCTGAAATTAGATCACTGCTCAAGATAGCTGTAAGATAATATCAGCACACACTATCTGACTCTAGGTTGTGTGGCAGCTTTAAGGCAGCATGTTTCAGCATGTTTAATTAGGCATGTCCCAATAATGTTGTAGTTTATTTAATAACAGCAATAGCAACAAGATCTTTTTTTCATTTTAACACTATAAGAACATTCAGAAACAGCTTTCCTCAACCTCACTCTCCCAATATGTAACATGACTATAGTATATTATCAAAACCAAGAAAATTTCTGTTAGTACAACACTATACTAAACTATAGGTCTTACCTGGATCTTGCAGTTGGTATATATACTTTGGGGAAGTGTATTGTATAATACACTATTACAGATTTGCATGCAGATTAATGTAACCACCATCACAACTGCTGGTTTCTAAAGTTTAATGTTCCCAGGATTCTATTCAATATAATTTTCAGTTTCCATTCTTCACATTCTCCCTGAACTCTTTCATTGACACTGGTGACTTTAACTGCTTTCAGTATTTGAGTAACTCCCAAATAAGTATATTGAACATTGTTCTTGAGCCTTGTACTAACCATTCTATGTCTACTTCTTGATACCTACTGAACATTGTGTCTGCACCTTATACTCTGACATATCCAAAACTGAACCCATATTCCTTCATTTTTAAACTAAGCAGTATCCCTGTGGCCCAAGCCAGAAGACGTAGGGACTGGTGCTGCATGCCACTTCATGCTCTCCATGATCAGCTCATTTCATCCTGACCCTTTCCCATAATGTTTTTATTTTGTTTTGATTTAATACAAATCTCTTTGATCCCTGGAAAAATCAGTCCTGGTTTCATATGATTCTCTCATGTACTCCCCATTGATAAATACGTATTTCTCTATGGAGCACATATGAAGGATATTGAACATAGATGTTACAATATTATCCTTAGTCATAACTTCATAAGTTCAAACTTGGTCCCATGGTTTTGTAATGGTGAGAACTCTTTAGATAACACAGGTTCATTCAGATAATTGTTATTATTTTGTCTCTGTGCCTCAATAAATAAATAAATTTGATGGTCAATGAATACTGCGGTATTTATACATTCATTAAAAGACATCAACTCACTGTAGATGTCCTGTTCCTTGAGGCAAGATGCCATCCACTCATCTACTTATTCCTACTCACACAGAGCCAACTGTCCAAATGCCGTGAATTCAGCCTGTAGAATGTCTCTGAACATCTACTAGTCATTGCTCTACCAGACTTGTCATTCCTGAGCTGACTGTCTGCAATGGCCTCTTCCCTATGGTCTTTTCAAACTAATCCATTCTCCATCTGTGATGAGCATTTCTCAAAAACACAATCTGTTCACCTTACCCTCTTAACAGCCTTTAATGACGCTGCATTTCCTGGAAAATAAATTTAAGTGCCTCAGAAGGGCATTCAAAGCCTCCAGAAAGTCTGATCTGACTTCCCATCTCAGCGTTAACTTTCCTTTTATATTGTTTATGCTCCAACCTTACTGCACTTGTGGTTGTGCCAGAACAGTCCTTGCATTCTAAAACTTTTGTTTTCTGGATCTATCTCAGATATCGCAAATCCTATGGAACCTTGTTCTGTTTCACCATCAAAATCCCCAGATGCCTGTCAGCATCATCTGCAACTCTATCCCCTCTCAGTCCTCCCTTACCTGGCATACCTAGCCTCCAATCTCTACGGTTCTGCATTCAACCTCCCATTTACATAGAAATTATTTTCTGGGTTGGCAATTTCAATGAACCAGTCAAATATTTAAATACAATTATATGTAAACTACTAACTCCAGTTATGATTTCAAACTCAGTTTTCCACTGCAGTTTTTCAAGAAGATGTATTTGTTTATTTGAAAGGCAGAGTTACAGAAAGAGAGGGAGAAAATAAGAAAGATTGAGAACTTCCCTTCACTATCTCCAAGTGCTTGTAGCTGCTGGGCCTGGCTCAGGTCAGTGTTGGGAGCCAGGAGCTCTGTTTAGGTCTCCCTGGAGGATAGTACAGGCCCAAATATCTTGGGCATGTTCCCCTATCTTCCCATGTAATTCGCTTGAAGGGAGCTGAATCAGAAGTGGACCAGTCAGGACTTAAAGCAGTACTCAGAACACATACTAAAGTTGCTGCACCACAACTCTGGCCCCTCCAGCTGATACTCTGAGCACAACCGAGTTCTGAAGATACAACTTCATAAAAAGTGGAATAAAAAGATAAATTTTTGTGTGTGTGGTAAGGAATTGGAAATCTATACAAAATGAAGGGCTCTTCAAAAAGTTAATGGCCAATGCATATTTTGAAATCTATGAATGAATTTCAAAATTTCTTTGCACCAAAATAAACTTGCCCTTGATTTCATTTTCCACAAACTTTTTTTTTTTTTACTTACTCTGGGCTACAACTCTTAAAAGTGGTTTTTGTTTGTTTTTTGTTTATTTTGAAGCCCAGTAGGCTCCTCTGAGAATAAGGAATGGAAAAACAAACAGAAAGGTAGATGGCAGTATTTTCTCAGTCTTGTTCACTAAGTAAGCAGGGAGGAAGCAGAGCTTCTTCTCAAGAATGTGATCATGTCATTTGTTAGAAAACTCTAGTTCATTGGCAATTTACTGAAAAATTTTTGTCCAAATACAATAATAGACACAACTACTATAATTCATTTTAAAAACCCACAGTCTTAGCATAAGGATGGTTAGTAATTAGCTTCTGCAAATTCAAAGCACACGATTTATTTGTGCATTCTCTATTGTTTCAACATGCTCTAGGAATAAACACTACAAACAAGAAAAAGATTCGTAACACATACATTAATCCTCATAAGCCCTCATCCCTAGTAAAAATGGTTATGAATATAAGGCAAGTCGTTACTTTTTTTTCAAGAAAATGATCAATCAGGAATATTTTAAATATGACAGCAAAACATAGATTCTTGATTTTTGTTCTTTCCTTTCTCTCTTCTGTTTTTTGCCATTGTAGGTGTTATATTAGCTGCCGGGATAAGGAATTAAAGCATGTCTGCTGCCCTTGTCAGCTGTCACGCGCTGCCAAATGAACACAAGCCATTTCAGGAAACTTTTGACCAAAAAAGACCATCCAAAAAGAGGTGATGGCAGGCATAGGTATGGTTGTTAAGACTTTGGACACGTGCATCCCATAGGTAAATACCTGAATAAAATCCCTGACCCTCCTCCTCATTGCAGTTTCCTGTTGACATGTCCTGGGAGACAGCATCTGGGGGCTCAAGGACATGGAGGCCTAGACTGAGTTCTGGGCTCCTAGCTTCAGCCTGCTCCAGTCCTGTCAAGTAGTCAGTTGGAGAGTGAACCAGGGCATGGTGTATATCTGTCATTTTTACTTTTCTTCTGTCACTCTCCTTTTATCTGCACTTCAAATAAGTTATACACATAATTTAAAATGATAGAATTTATTGAGGTCATGTTTATCAATCATTGATTCAAAATATTAGTTCCTTGCAATTCCAATGATTCACCAATGAAGATATTTTTATCTTTCTTAAAAAAGTTGTCAATAGGAAGCTGTTTTTTTAACATGTCAATACTATGCCTTCCTGATCAAAACTGGAAGCCAAAGCATTAGCTAGAATTTCAAGCATCTAATTTCTTAAAATTTTTACTATGTGCTAAATTCATTACTAGGGAAGTCAAACTATGTATTATATATGTTTGGTTTATATTTTCCAACCACTCAATACTAAGGATAAAAGTGAAAATCCCAGTATATTATAGCATGAGTTATTTGAACACAAGTAAAAGAGAAAATAAAAGTTGAATAATTTCTTCTATGACATTTCTATCTTTTTCTGTATTAGATCAGATTTTCTTCCAAGGTGATTTGATTCCCATTTTTTTTCTTCACTTTGTGTCAATATCTTCTTAGTTGAGACTCCAAACAGAAGAAAAAAAATCCAGGTAGAATGAAAAAGATTTGTATGAATTCATTTAATTCTTCAAGACATACTACAACCATAAGGACTATTGAAATTTGCTCCCAGATATCCTAAAACTGACATTCAGGTTTATTTTTTTCTCACTGCTAATAGAAATTCACTTTCGCATCAGCAGCTGCTTTAGTTCTAACATGGCACGTTGTATAATTTCGCCACCGAATCCTACTGTCACTTCATCGATGGCTTTTTGTGAGCTGAGTTTCAGTTTTCATTTGGGACCATAGCTGCATAGTTCAGCTCCACCAAAGATCCAGATTCTGATTTGGAGCACATCCAAATCCAAGGCACTTTTCTTCTAAGAAAATCCAGGAAGATTTCTTCTTTGCCTGTATTTGAAATTACATAATGAGCTGCTTTGTGTCCTTTATTTCAGGATGGTCTCAATGCATTTTTATGCCCTCTGGTTATCTTTACTCCTAAAAGTAAAATTTAAAAAGGATTTGGCTCTTAGCAGCTACCACTCTCATCTGAAAAAAAAAAATGGTTTTCCTTCTGCTTTTCGCTCAAATTGCCACTTTCCCTCATTGCTCTCGCATTTGTTCTCTCCCTAATTCCCCCAGTGTGTACCCAATGTTTATAGAGCCCTCACTGTGTAAAAGGCAAAGATCTTGACATTGGGGGTGGTGGGAAAATAAAGACTCGCCTGACTGCGAGCCCTTGCCTTCTGAAGATGTTGTGGATCAGGACAAGGAGACAGCTAACTACTCCTGAAGAATGAGACCTGCTCCTCCAGAAGCCATCTGAAAGGAGAGATGGAAAGCACAGGTAAAAACAACCATGATTGATTAATGATTACTATGAAGCTTAACTCTGTACTCACTCTAGAGCAAACCTTCCTGGACAAGTTGCTTACGATTTCCTTGCAGAACTGACTGCATTCCCGGAGAGATGGTCGGGGCTGTACTGCTTGCTGTGCGCATCTGGGAGGGAGGGCTCAGCGACTGAAAGCCTCTCATTCCCTTGGCACAGGCAGCTTTGTAGCTGGGGCCTGGTTGGCTGTGCTGTCCTAAGTGCCGACCCATTGCCTCCAATGATCAGCCTCTTGGCAACAGCCTCTGGCAGAAGCCAGCACAACATTTTCTTTTCCTCCCATAATCAAGAATATCTATTCAATTTATGTTTTTATCTCTTTTATCTGAGAAGAGAATTCCTGAGACACAGGATTCTGAACTGTGTGTGTGTGTGTGTGTGTACAGCAGAGTGGCGGAGGGGAGAGACAAAGAGAGACAGAGAGAGATCTTCCATCTACTAGCTCGTTCCCTAAAATGCTTGTGACAGCTGGGGCTGTGCCAGGCTGAAGCCAAGAGCCAGAAATTTCATCTAGGTCTCCCATGTGGCACAGGAATCCATTTCTTGTCATTTTTCCATGCAAATCTGCAGGTAGCTGGATTAGAAGTGGAGCAGCCAGCACTTCAACTGGTGCCCATATGCAATGCTAGCACTGTTGGCTATGGCTGTACCATTTATGCCACAACAACAGCCCCAAATTTGCTGAGGAACCTGAATTTGTCAGTGATAGCTGCTTTACTTAGCTTCCCAATTGGTAAAATGAGGACACACCAGATCTGCCCCAGGTCCCCTCCAAATGCAAACACGTGTGAGTTTTACATCACCAGGATTTCAAGGAACTCACACCCTGGACTGTTACAAAAAGATCACTTGCATGCTTTCCTGCTGGTTTTTCTTCTATGGTTTAGATGACTTATCGCTACCTAATTATTCCACTGTTGCATTTATTATTCCTTCCTCCACTAACAGCATTGAGCTAAAACAGAAAGAAGCTCAAAGACTAATACTATTTTAAAAGGTTTTTTGTTTGTTTTCATTTTTTTATAAATACATACTCATGGGCCTGGTGTGTTAGCCTAGTGGCTAAAGTCTTCTCATTGCATGCTCCAGGATCTTATATGGGTGCCAGTTCATATCCCAGCTGCTCCATTTCCCTTCTAGCTCCCTGCTTGTAGCCTGGGAAAGTAGAAAAGGATGGCACAAAGTATTGGAACCCTGCTCCCATGTGGGAGACCTGGAGGAAGTGCCTGCTTCCTGGCTTCAGATCAGCTCAGCTCTGGCCATTGTGGCTACTTGGGGAGTAAACCAGCATATGGAAGACCTCTCTCTGTCTCTCCTCTTCTCTGTATACTTGACTTTCCAATAAAAATCAACAAGTTTTAAAAATAAATAAATACATACTCATTCACACACCTTGCAACATGTAAATGTTACAGGATAAAATGAGATCTTAGGAGAAACATAGTTCCAATTGTTTTCAACCGTAACAGGTGTTCGTCTCTTGGAGCTTTTATTAAAATGCATATTACAACTCCTCAATCCAGAATTTCCAAATTTGCAGGTAAAAGGGAGTCCAGATGTTCATGTTTCTTGCATGTTGCAAGTGGCACTGACGCTGCTGCTGGCGAGCACAGCACTACTGTGAGTGCAAGGTCCCACAGAGATAAGGTCCCTGAGTGCACAGTCCACAGGTCCCGTTTGGCACTTACGTGCTTCAGGCAATAGGTTTCCAGGTCTCCTCCATCAATTGCCCACACATTTTGATGGTTACAGATTTTTCTTCACATTGAAGCCCTCCCAGCTCTCCTTGAAGGACCCCTTCTGTTTTCTCCTGCCCTTGACCCCTGCCTTGCAAGCATTTCAAGATGTTGTAAAACTTCCATTCTAAGATCTGTTTTTTTTTTTTTTTAACAACCAATAACTCAGTCAGCATCCATCTCTGTCTAATCCTTTAGTCCAGGTGTTCTAGAACTCTGCAAGAAACTACACGGCTCAGAAGAAAAACAAAGGGGCCTCTCCAGTCAGGGTAAGGAAGCAAAGGTTTGCAGTGTGTTTAGCTATGCTCATACAGATGCAGTACAGTGTCTTTCATACTAAGTTTCCTGTCTTTGTCTTAAAATTGTGGAAATAAGGATTTTATTTATCAAGTCTATTTTGTTATATTAGGTAGACAGTTCTTTGTAACATTGAAACAGCTTTATTCCCCTAACCACCGACAGTATTCTTCAGTTACTGTTCCTGTAAAATCAGCATGTGCTCAGGTCATTGCCTTCCAAAAGAGATGTGTGGAAGAAATTATTTTGAATTATTCTGGGAAGTTTGTGATGTAGCACATAAAGATGAAATAAAGCCATAACTTTCTTTAAAGATGTTTGCAAAATCTACTTCCTTAAAAAATTTGGAATTCCCATACCAGAGAAAGAAGCACAGGCCATAGGAATCAATTTGAAGTCCTACTAGAGAATGCCAGCATTAAAACTCACTGACATGGAGCCAGTATTGGGGCATGACAGGTTAACCTGCCACCTAGGCCCCTGGCCTTCCATGTAGGTTCTGGTTCCAATCCTGTTTGTCTCATTTTCAATTCAGCTCCCTGCTAATGATCTGAAAAAACAGCAGAGGATGACCTAAGTACTTGGGTCCCTATTCCCCCACACACATGAGAAATCCAATCTGGGTGAAGCTCCTGGCTTTGGCATGGCTCATCCCTAGCCACTGTGGTCATTTGGGGAGTAAATCAGTAGATGGAAGAGCTCTCCCTGCCTCTCCTTCTCTCTGATTCCACTTTTCAAATAAACAAATAAAACTTGAAAAAAAATTAATGAATTACCTTAGCAATTTATAGAAATATGATCTATCCTTGCATACTGCACTCTGTTACCTGCCAGTCCCTCCTTCCCTACTCATAAAAAGGCTATTGGCCTTTTACAAGAAGAGATGTGATTCAGAAGCCAGAAGAGGAAACAGCTCAAGAATCCTGAAGCAGAGGGATGCTCTTACTGTGGCTGATGGCCTGGCTCATGGTAATTTCATTCCCTGGTGCTAAAAAGACCCAAGTGTAACTTGACTTGACAACCAGCTTGTTGAAGCCAGCCACTGCTAGGTGCGCCCTCAACCCTGTCAAGTTCATGCCATGTAAAGCCCTACCAGGCACTGAGTCCTTGATTTCCCATTCATGACTGTCCATGACATTTCTAAATGTGCATGTGTGGATATTTGTCGCACCTACTGTACACCTGAGATTCATATGTACACATGGTGGGTCTGAGTGTATCTGATAATGAGCATGCTTCAGCCTTTGCCTCCCACATGATTGTCCACTGCCCTGAAGTTCTGAAATCTTTTTCATCTCATGCTTCCGAACTGGAACTTGTTGTAGATTTTAATTTATACAGTAGAACTTCAAGTGTTCCTTTAATATGGCTTAATTTAGGTTTTGAAAGCTACAACCTAGGCAGGTGCCATGGCATAATAGGCTTAGTATCCACTTGTGCAGCCTGCATCCAATATTCTAATTCACGTCTCAGCTGTTTCAATTCTGATCCAGCCCCCTGCTTAAGGACGGGGAAGACAACAGAGGATGGCTCAAAACCTTGCATCCCTGCAGTCACCCTGGTCTGAGCTTCAGGTCAGCTTGGCGCTGGTCATTGCAGCTATCTGTGGAGTGACCACAGGATACAAGATCTCTCTCTCTCAGTCCTTCCCTTTCTCTCTAACTCTGCCTTTCAAATAATAAAATAAACACCTAGTGATATCCTTGACACTTCAGATTTCCAAAACTATCTATAATGTCTCACTTAAAGAGATTCCACAAACTTTATTCAGCACACTACCCTAGATGCTGTGCTGTGAGTTATTACAGTAGGCAGAAGCTACAGTATTACCCTATGACTTGTATACGTGAATGATTCATTTCTGTTGTCACCTACCATGCATTACTGTTTACTTTAGTCAGGAGAATTATTTATTGATAGAATTGATAATGTTATATGGTCTTGCCTTGTGATGCCTCTGAAAAACAATTTTAAAAAGCTAGTATTTTCTGGAAGGATCCTTTTACCTTTTAGCCCAGAGTCATATTCGGGTTTCCAGAGAGATGTTTGACAGTCAATGAAGCCATCCAGCTGGAGCCCCTGGTACTAACAAAGCAGAGGAGGAAATTAAACTTTTGAGAGGCAGCCAGGTCATGTAAATAAGAGTAGTCTTTGTAAATAGCAAAAGTTCCTGATTATGTGTCATTTCTGTCTTAATTCATCCTCCTCTTGACACCTCTAACCATAAATGCTTCCCAGTCTATTCCCCCTCCCTACCTTCCCCTTCCTGTACTTTCCCAATGGGTTCTGCTAATAAAGGTCTCATTGCATTTCATAAAAGTTTCTGTTATTTTAAGATATCTAGTTGAAACTGGGTCACACATATAAAAAAGGAGAACTGTGACCCACAGGTAATATGGGGACCAAAGTTCTCCTTCCACCCCCTCCATCCTAGCCTGGCAGCAAAAGTTGGAGAACAAGCAGAAACTAGATCAGAGAGATTTGGGAAGTGAAAGGTCCAGCAGATTGCGACATCTGCTGGCTGCACTCTTCCTAAGTTCCGTGTGGCGCTACCCTGGGCTCCACCAATCAGAAATTGCCCTGCAGGTTTGTGTGCGGTCAGGCTTCTCTGCTCTCTCCATAAACCTTTCCCCAGATTTGAGTCACACTTTCTGCCTCCTTTGCTGGCCAACAAATACAGGCTTTCCCTTCTTACAAGAATGGGGTTACAGTGTGATCTTTATACATCCTGGGCAGCTGATCCACCTCATTCAGGAACGTGGTAGGTAAAGAAATAGTTTCATCCCTTCATCCAGAAAGCTCACATCTAGAAATAAACACCAGTAATGATGATAACAATGACGATGCTATAATTTTGATACTTCTGCTACCAGGAATACCCATTCCTTATTTCCAGAGCAAAGTCACATTCCAGGGCCAGGATTTAGTAATCAACAATATGTTTAAAAGTGGCTACATTCTCAATTTTTATTGATTGAAGAGCATTAAAGGAATAGCATCTGTAACTTGGGATAATACCTTTGGCATTCCCTCTTCCTCTGGAACAGGTGTTCAATGCAATAGTG